ATACATCATTCGGGACTGTTAAGGGTCTACTTTTATTTGTGTGCACTCACAATATCAGCATACGTAGTGATTTTTTAGAGAACAAACTGCGCTTTCTGCTGTCTCGGTCTTGAGCAGAAGCTCTTCACAAAAATGAACCGAAACAGAATATTCTATTTCCCCTAGCCCTGACACATTAATCATGGTAATTACTTATGATTATGAATTACGGCAAAAATACACACAAAATGACCAACCTGTTGATTGTCCTCATAAGCACTGTTGGTTTTTTCTTAAGTGAATGTAAACCGTTGCGAAAGAGAAAAGTTTTCAAAACGTTTAACTGAGTTAAATAAATGATAACATACAGTGATGTGATATGTTCTCTGTGTGGAGTAACGTCTGGCGCAGTTGCAGCTTGTACTTATTACTAAAACAAGAAAGCAAACAATAGCACTAATAGTCATTAATTTTAGTTGTGATAATTTGAACTAATTTTTATTCTTGTAAAGTAATGGAAAATTAGGTTATGTGAATATTGTCTCAAAAGTCATGGAAATTTATAAGTAAAAAAAGTGTACGAACCCTGTATTAAGACCTGGAAATAAAAATGAAAACTAAATAAATTAAAGTTAAATAGAAAATGTAAAAAAGATAAAGGACCATTTAAATTATTAATAAAAAACTATAATGATATATAAATAAAAATCACCCTGGTCTGATTTTTATTCTTGTAAAGTAATGGAAAATTAGGTTATGTGAATATTGTCTCAAAAGTCATGGAAATTTATAAGTAAAAAAGTGTACGAACCCTGTATTAAGACCTGGAAATAAAAATGAAAACTAAATAAATTAAAGTTAAATAGAAAATGTAGAAAAGATAAAGGACCATTTCAATTATTAATAAAAAACTATAATGATATATAAATAAAAATCACCCTGGTCTGAAAGGAAGAGTGGGTCTGTTATGAGTAGAAAGGAATTACAGTGAAATGATGATTATGGACGTCTCGCCCTACTTCCCTTTTGATTAATTTTGCAACATAATGAAATAATTGTGTGTAAAACAGTTCAGTAGTTCGTCTTTTTTTTGCAGACAAAGTAAGAGATGCTGGTATGTTTTGTTCCTGAAATACATCCCACCAAACAAAGTGCATGCTGTCATAGCTGATGGGGTAAAAATATCATCTTTTAACATGTAATAATTATCCTTTAGGCCTCATGGGACTTTTCGAGAAAAGACGATTCAGGAAGTTCCTTGTGTTTGTTGCCAACTTTGATGAAAATGACCCAAAGACCTTGGAGGGAGTGGACCCCAAAAAGACCACCATGCGAGATGTGTACAAAAAGTTCGACCTCGGGCAGGATGTTGTCGACTTCACCGGTCACGCTCTCGCACTCTACCGCACAGATGAGTGAGTCAAAACCTAGTCTACTTTTTGGAGGAAGTTCAACTTAAAGACTGATGTCGCAGGCTTGTTTGCTAAACCTGTTTGTGTTGTCTATCTGTCCAGCTACCTGGATCAGCCCTGCATGGAGACGATAAACAGGATTAAGTTGTACAGCGAGTCTTTGGCGAGGTATGGAAAGAGTCCATATCTGTACCCTCTCTATGGCCTAGGAGAGCTGCCCCAAGGCTTCGCCAGGTGAGTTTCCCCAACCATTCCTCTGCTACTAACATTCACATCATTTTAAACCTGTCTGTGTGTAGTGTGCTTAGATTGCAGTACTCTGTAAATACACTAGCAGTATATTTTTGTCACTCACAGATTAAGTGCCATTTATGGAGGAACCTACATGCTGAACAAGCCCATTGAGGAGATTATTATAGAGAACGGCAAAGTGGTGGGCGTCAAATCTGAGGGAGAGGTGAGTTTCTGTTGCAAGCTGTGTGAAATCTGATTTGTCCTTAAAATGTGCTGTGACTTTAATGCTGTTTATTCTTCACGGTTAGATCGCTCGCTGCAAGCAGCTGATTTGCGACCCCAGCTATATCATGGACCGAGTCAACAAGGTGGGTCAGGTGATCCGGGTCATCTGCATCATGAGCCACCCCATCAAGAACACCAGCGATGCCAACTCCTGCCAGATCATCATCCCTCAAAACCAGGTCAACAGGAAGCACGGTTAGTTTGACAGGAAGCCACAGCACTTGCATATTCAGTGGGCTCTTACCTTATTTTAATCTCATATTTTATACTTGGTGTATTTTAGGGTTGGCAGTAACAAATTGAAATGACAGGATTTTTGATACCAAATTTATTTCCGTAATAAATGCTCTTGAACAGTTTTTTTTTTTTTTTGAAGTTAAATTTATAAATAATTTAAATATGAATAGAAAGTAATGGCATGTAGCTTTCCAATATTTTAATAAAAAATTCAAATTTGTCCAAGTCATTTATTTTTTACATTCATAAAAGACCTAATACACTTATCTGAGATAGTCATGTATCAGTTTTTTGCCACCTGTTTACATTTTATATAATTGACATAATAATAATAATATTATAATAATTTTATATATACACTGCCATTCAAAAGTTTGAGGTCATTTAGACTTTAGGAAATTAATACTTTTATTTAGCAAGGAAACATTAAATTGGTTTAAAAGTAACAGTAAAGACATTTACAAAATATGTTACAAATGATTTCTGTTATGTTCTTTTTAAGAAAAGAATCCTAAAAAAAATCATAATTTCCACAAAAATATTAATATTTCATCACTGATAATAGATGTTTCTTGATCACCAAATTTACATTTTATAATGATTTTTGAAGAATCATGTGACACTGGAGTAATGGCTGCTTACAATTCAGCTTTGTCATCGCAGGATTAAATTACATTTGTAAAATACATTCAAATACAAATGCTGTTTTAAATGGTAATAATATTTCACAATATTCCTGTTTTTACTGTAGTTTTGATTAAATAAATGTAGCCTTGGTGAGCATTGAATTTTTCAAAAGCATTCAAAATATTACCGACCCCAAACTTATAAAAGGTACATTATTGTACATTAAAACCATCTCTTCCTTTTAGATATCTATGTGTGCATGATCTCTTACGCACACAATGTGGCAGCCCAGGGTAAATACATAGCCATAGTCAGCACCACTGTGGAGACCAGCGACCCTGAGAAAGAGATCAAACCAGCCCTGGACCTTTTGGAACCGGTTGAGCAGAAGTACGTTTGTGTGCACTTGTGACTTACTTTGACATGCGTGCAATCGGATAAATAAGATAATTTTGTGCTATATGTGACCTTCCTGCAGACTTGTGAGCATCAGTGATCAGTATGCGCCAACCGATGTGGGATCTGACAGCCAGGTGAGCGTTTACATTGTGCTCACTTGATATACAAGAGTGACTACAGTACTAAGTTTGTTTTTATCTGCACCCAGATCTTTGTCTCTCGCTCCTATGATGCCACGACCCACTTCGAGACGACCTGCGATGATATCAAAGACATCTACAAGCGAATGACGGGCACAGAGTTTGACTTTGCCGAAATGGAACGCAAGAAGAATGACATCTTCGGAGACTGTGCTGACCAGTAAACTAGCTCCAGCTGCTCTTGAATCAGATATTCAGACGATCATAATCTTAACATTTAAAAAAAACAAAAGAAAAAAAAAGGCAACCAAACTGGGTGAGCTGGCTATCCAAGCGTATGTTTTGCCCTTAATGGAATTTCATGTAAACCGTTATACAAATTTAGCATTTTTGGGGGGGCGGAGAAGGGGAGAAGGTTCTGCCAGTCTGCTTTTTATAATCAGGAAACGAGATCCATTTTGCACTGATTGTTTATCAACGCCCTGTAATCGGTTTCCATCATGTGATCTTTAGCTCAACCTGCTTAGACATGGGATGTGAAAAGTCCAGAGATGCCAAATAAGATGTATTCAAGTGATATGAAGAAATGCATATTTTTTAAAATGTACTGGTGTTAGCTGTCAAGGGGAGGGGGATCGGGTTTTGCAAAATTGCGAAATGATCTGTTTTGAGTTTGGCCAGGTTTAACAGCACACGTTTTTATTTTGAAAAGAAACTATCTACTTCTAAGATAACTTCCAGGGATTAATCATTATTCTTTTTTCCTACAAATTACAACTGGTGCTTAAACTAGTATCCTGAATATTTAGTTATCAATATTTATCCAATTTCCTTGCGTTTACAGATCGAAGGGAAGTATCAAGCACACACAGTGTAGATAATCTTTTATGTAATCCGTGTCCAACCACACAGTATTCGTTTTGCAATATGCTCATATGATTTGACATAACCGACCCCCTATTAGCTGTAAATTGTGCTGCTTGTCGGAAGGGCCAGGGTTTCTTTCAGCTTTGCCTTGCATCTCTTTTCTGATGGGTTATGCGTGATTCTAAGGCTACTACATGGAGGTTATCACACGTCAGTGGGAAAAGCTGCTTAACTGTAAGTCTGGAATCTGCTTGTCTAGTGTGTGTTAGGGAGCTCTTCTTCTCCTTCACCTCAGAGCAGAGAGGAGCAGGCAGTGTCGCCTCAACGGCTCTGATGTGTTAGCAAGGACCAAAATGTCTATGGCAGTATTGACATGACCAGGGCCCTGTGCAAAATGTCACCAATGTTTTAAAGAAAACAGCAAACGCTGAACGAATGGGGCTCAAATGATTTCTGTACTGCAAAGTAAAAATGTTAACTTGTGGAAAATTGACTTTGTGTTTTTATTTATTAACTATCTAGTTTCACTAACAATTATTTTTAAATGTTAAATATGAATGATAATCCATATTTTATAAACAAAAATATTTATGATGATTTTTTTATTTATTATTCTTGTTATTGTGTGGCCTGCATGTTTACATCACAAAAACAAAGCAGTTAAATGTAATTTTGTAAAGTGGTATTAAATGTATATCACAAGTGCTTCGTTAATATGAAAGTTATATTTGGACATTCAAGAAGTTTATTAATAAACAATTAATGCCAGTTTATGGTAGTGGGCGCTGTGGAGGAACTACATCTCCCAGAATCCTTTGCGTATTTGCCGTATTCAATCCGTAGTGTCGCAAATCATAAACCGCACAGGCGGCTTCTCTAAATATAAAACAAGTTTACTTTATCAGCACGTTGGTCGCATGCTATATGAGTAATATTTGTTAAATGTCAAGTAGATTTAATAAATTATGGAACTCACCGCTGCCAGATCAACGTTTTATGGTGACATCGGTGAGTATTTGTCTAATATCAATGCATTTTATGCTTAACAGACTCCTGTCTGCAATTGCTTAACATTGCTGTGTACTAGACGGGGGGAATATATTTCCCATTAGATCTACTCCCACTTAACACGAAATAAATGACTGCATTTGTAGGTCACTGGGCTGACCGCACACCGGTACATGAGGCTGCGTCTCTAGGTCGAGCTCTGCAGTTAAAACAGCTGATAGAAGCAGGAGCATCAGTTAATATCGTGTCTGTGGATAACTTCACCCCTCTGCATGATGCCTGCATCCAAGCCCATCCAAAGTGTGTTCAAATCCTGCTGGAGGCTGGAGCTCAGGTGGGTCACGGCACAAGGTATATTTTAATTAGTTACTTTTGAGTTATGTTCTTATTCGCGTATGCTTAGCTTTTATCCAAAGTGACTTACAGTGTTGGGGAGTAACTAGTTACATGTAACGGCGTTACGTAATTAAATGACAAAATAAGTGCAACTAATTAGTTAGTTACTGAGAAAAAAATGTGTAATTAAATTAGTTATTTATGAAAATAATAACGATTACAATCTGAATACTTATTGTATTAATATTTACTATATTTTTTATGATTTAAAATCTGTATTTAACTTCAGAACGATCTCAAAGTAAAAAGTGGTGCTAAATTCTGATTTTGTGGTGGATGTACTTTAAAATGAAATGATTATAGTCTTAATTCTAGAGATGAAGGATTTTGAAAGTTAGTTTGATTGCTTCTATTGTCCTCATTTGTAAGTCGCTTTGGAAAGCGTCTACTAAATGTAAATGTAAATTGAAAAAAATAATCAAATGTATTCAACGTTACTTTAATAAAGTAATTGAAATACCTAGACTACTTATTACATTTTAAATAGGGTAACTTGCAATCTGTAATCTAGCCTATTACATTTCCAAAATAAACTTCCCAACAATGGTGACTTACAATAAAGGAGTGTAAGCAAATCATCATAGAGACTACAATATTAGAGAAGATGGGAGGAATAACAAGGCACTGAAAAATGAAATTAATAAATAACAAACATCCCACCCTGCAAAACTCATTCATTACTAGTCTAAGGTATAAACTATATTCGCCATTGAAAACTGTGTGTGTAGGTGGATGTGCGCACCATCCATGGCAGTACTCCTCTCTGTCACGCCTGTGCGGCTGGCAGCATAGACAGTGTCAAGCTGCTGGTGGATCATGGAGCGTCCGTCAACCCTTCCCTGACCGCCCTCACGGCTTCACCCCTCCATGAGGCCTGCATACGAGGTGAGATAGCCAGGAGAGGGAATGCTTTGTGTTTAGATTGTTTGTGTTTTCTCATGATCTCTGTGCAGGTAGCCCAGACTGTGTGAAGCTTATGATAGACAAGGGAGCGCTGCTGGAGGCCTTTGACATTTACTTCGGGACGCCGTTACATGCTGCTTGTGCTAAAGCTCACTTAGACTGTGCCCTGCTGCTGCTCAATGCAGGTGAGGCACTTTTTTATAGGTGTAGTTTATATATTTTATTTTGCACTGCTATGTATTATTCTGCTTTATTATTTTTTCATACTTTCAAAGGTGCAAAGGTGAATGCCACCAAGTTCCATGAGACAGCACTGCATCATGCGGCGAGGGCCGAGAGCGTGGACCTGGTGGAGCTGCTGGTGGAGTTTGGTGGAAATGTCAACATAAGTGATAACTTGGGTCACAAACCTAGAGACTATACAAAACCTGAATCTTCTGCCAATCTCTGTCTGCTGCACTATGAGAGTATGTTACAGTCTGCATAGGTGCTATACAGTATATTATGAGGCCTCTCCGAATGATTTCATCTGCTGTTCTGTTTTTCTGCAGGTAACCCTCTGTCTCTGCAGCAGCTGTGCCGTATCGTCCTGAGGACTGTGTTGGGTACTAGAGCTCTGGAGCTGATCCCTAAACTGGACATTTCACAGCGCATCATTGATTACCTCATTTATAAATCATACATTTATAAATAAGTTCCCTAGAGTCTTATTTTCAGGTTTAGAAACCTTTACTGGACTGCAGTTTATATAGTCTTACATTTGTAAGTCAATTAATTTAATGTTTGACAACCAGAAAGTGTCCAAATACTTTTTGTCTAAAAGGTATTGTTTTATAATTTAAACTTATCAAACTTTTCTTGCTTGAAAATACTTTGTGATATACTTTATTAAAATAAATGCCATTGGTTTTCAATCAGGAAGTCCTGAAAGCACTTTAGGGGGTCTGTTGAGAAGATATATAAAGCATATAGCACTTAACTTTTTGTGATATGTTTAACTATTTAACTCATAAAAATGTCTGTCTATTAAGCGTTATGTATTGTTAATATTCTTAATTAAAGCTACTGTAATGTGCTATCTGGTATGCCATGTCCCTGGGTCTGTAAAGGTTGAAAGCTCTTGATTTAATGCACTCGCATTCCTACATTTGTCCAAATGTATCCAGTCATTATTTTTGTATTTTTTTTTTATATATGTGTGTGTGTGTATGTATATATATATATATATATATATACACACACACACACACACATATACTGTGTGAGTGTATATATTTATTTATTTAGTCATTTATTAGACACTTAGACACTTAGCGACTTACAAATGAGGACAACAGAAGCAATCAATTATAGTATTAAAACAACTAAAATATATATATATATATATATACATACACACAACATATATATACACACACACACACACACACACACACATTATTATATATAATATTATTGACCCCAGTACATTCGCAGTAAACTACAACTCCCAGCATTCACGGCAACACGTCATAACTAGAACCTAAACAGAACAGACCACGTGATGCATACACCGCATTTCTAAACACAGCAGACTTTAGTTAGCGACAGTGTTTGGTTTAAATTTCTCTACCATTTTACTAAAGCAGAGATGGAAGTGGAAACGGCACGACCTTATTTTTTCGGGGACATCGGTAAGTCCACGCGTATTTGCCGCTGTGTCCGTACTGCAGCGACGTGCCGCCCTATTTTGATTATCATATTTCACACCATAGTGCTCTTCTTAATGCCGTGCAACTGTAGTCAACAACCAATGTTTAATATAGCCTTATAAATATGTCATATAGCCAACCATGATAATATATAAACTATACAAATAATAAACATTAACGCATCAATAGCTCATGTACATTTTTTACTATATTACATGATTTATGAGACATGACACAACTTTGTCTTTTTTTTTTTTTTACTCGAAGGCTTAAATGACCAATATATTATGCCTAATAATTCATTTTTATCGCATATGCTAAAATGATTACCATAGATTACCATCTGTTGTGGCTGACTCCTGTGGTTATGGTTTTACTGTGTGTTAGGTTTCTGGGCAGAGAGGACAGAGGTTCATAAGGCTGCGTATCAGGGTCAGGTGTCAGAGCTGCAGAGTTTGATCCAGAGTGGAGCTTCAGTGAATATTGTGGCTGTGGACTCCATCACTCCCCTCCACGAGGCAGCTGCTCGCGGACAGACGCAGTGTGTGAGACTGCTGCTGGACGCAGGGGCTCAGGTGCCAGTCACACACATACTGTTCTTAAAAAGGCCCTGACTTTGGCTTTGAAATGGGTTTTTGTGTTGCAGGTTGATGCAAGGAACGTGGACGGCAGCACTCCACTGTGTGAAGCGTGCTCTATCGGGAACTTTGAGTGTGTGAGGCTTCTTTTGGAGTATGGAGCAAAAGTCAACCCCATGCTTACCTCTCGCACCACCTCTCCTCTACATGAGGCCTGCATGGGAGGTGTGCTGGTTTGGGGTACACTCACTGTAGAAGTGTACTTTATTTTATTGTTTTAGTTCAATTTCATTTTATTTGTTGATTTAAAATGTATAGTTATCTAATTATCAGAAAATGTTATAATAGAATTTGTTGACTTTTTGTTTTTCTTTAGTACTAAAGAATCTGTAAGGTATTTTTTAATGACCATAATTCATAGAGTATGAGTTATTTTAGTGATGAGTTTATGGTTTTTATTTTATTTTGAAATCACTTTATTTAAAAATATACTAATATACAATGTTAAAAAATAAGTTAGAGAAGGAATTTAAGAGTAAGATTTTTTGGGGACGATTTCTTTATTTTTACATTTTATTTTATTTAAAAATTATTATTTTAAAATATAATCAGTATTAGTATTATCAAAAATGATTTTATATTAGACTTTGTTGATTTGTTTTCTGTAGTTTTACAGAATATCTAAGGTAATTTTATAAATTCATAGAGTATGAATTCCTTTTATGATTATTTTATGTTTACAATTTATTTAAAAAATAAAATTCACTATATATCAATTTTTTAAAATAATTTTACATAGTAATAATTTCTGTAGTATTACAGAAGCTGGTTTGCTTATAGGTAAAAGGTAATTTTGTCATATTAGAGTAAAAATTATTTTTATGATTATTTTGTATTCACATTTTATTGTTTTGTTTTTATTTTAAGAACAATAATTTTAATTATGAAAATTATATTTGGTTTTGTGGTCTTTTGTTTATATAGTATTACAGAATCTGTAAGTTATTTTTTATAAATGCTTAGAGTATGCATTCTTTTGATGATTATTTTATTGTTTTAAAATATAATTGTCAAATTTTCAACAACAACAACAAAAATGTAAATGGTCTTTTATTGACCATTTATAATTTCTGTAGTATTACAGTGGTCTTTTATTTATATAGTATTACAGAATCTGTAAGTTATTTTTTATAAATGCTTAGAGTATGCATTCTTTTGATGATTATTTTATTTTATTGTTTTAAAATATAATTGTCAAATTTTCAACAACAACAACAAAAATGTAAATGGTCTTTTATTGACCATTTATAATTTCTGTAGTATTACAGAATCTGTATGAATTTGATACATTTATAGAGTAAGAATTATTTTGATAAACTGAACTTTTTGAGTGAAATACTTGTCTGTCCATCATATAATATGAGAATATTCTGTTATGCAGGTAATGCAGATTGTGTGAGGTTAGTGATTGCTAAAGGAGCCAGTCTGGAAGCCTATGACCTGTACTACGGTACTCCTCTACATGTGGCATGTGCCAACCGACACCTGGAGTGTGTTAAAGTGCTACTGAATGCAGGTAAACCCGGATTCCATGAACCATGAGATTGTAAAGTACTCTGTCAGCCATGCAAATGCTGAAGAATGTGCCTCTAAAGAAGGTAGTTTAGATCTGAAATCACCAAAGTAAAGCTTTAATCATGAATCATTGTGTGCAGGTGTGCGAGTAAATGCCACTAGGCTACACGAGACGCCCTTACATCATGCTGCCAAGTCCAACAATGTGGATATGATTGAGCTGCTGGTGGAGTTCGGGGCCAACATTTACGCCCGAGACAAATATGACAGGAAGCCAGTCAACTACACAAGGCCAGATACGCCCTCAGCGCACTATCTTCAGCTTTATGAGAGTGAGTTCAAAACAAAACCGCCTTCTAAGGAAATTCAATTACACGACTTAATTTGTATTTTGAAATGGTTTTCATTCGTTATAGGATATGTTATATTGTTTAAATTCATTACTTTATAGGATAGACAGACTGAATGTACAGGATTTTATCAGTGGTGTTGTAGAAATAAAGTATCCTACATTTAATATTCTGCACTGTTTTGGTCTCTTGTCAAATAAAAAATTAATAAACAAATAAAGTTAATATAATTTTTGATGGGGAAAAAAAGATTCAGTTATAAAATATTTTGAAAAGTATCAATTTTGATGTAAAATAAAAAAATAATTGTTTAATATTTTGCACCTTTTTGGTCTCTTGTCAAATAAACAATTAATAAAATATAAAGTTAATATAATTTTTAATGAAAAAATGTAAAGAATTGATGTTTATTTAATGGAAATTAAATGTTTAATATTTTTATAATATGTTTTTAAGTAATTTAAAAGCAAAACAGTGTTTTTATTAAAAGTAATCATCAAAAAAAAAAAATCACAAAAAGTTAATGTAATTTTTTTCTTAATATAAAAAGACAATATAGAAAGTGTCCAGCAGATGGTGCTCTTGGCTTAATGTAAAAGCTGTTGTTTTGTTTATGTGGTATATTGCATTGAATGAGGAAGAATCAGTTCAAAGTTCAGTTTAGTATGTTCTCCATGCTCTCACCAAGATTTAAATGTTCTAAAAAAAAAAAAAAGATGTATCATGTTAATGTTAATTGTTCTGGTTGTAGTGATATGCGGCCACTGTGGTTGTATCTGCAGGAGTGATTCACAGCCAGGTCTGCTGCCTAGGTGCTGCTCAGGATATTTTGGGTGTGATGTTATAAACAATTACATGAAGTTTATGATGATGAGATTAAAAGTTAGATTCTGGCGTAGGTCTGGAATCTATCATTAGTCTCATTCCAAAGGTGCATTCGCGACCCAGTCGAGTCCAAACACAACACGGCAGTGCCCCTCTTCAGAATGTAAACCAGATTCATGCGAAACCGTGGCCTAGGAGCATATAAATATTTTCCTGATACTGACATGTAGAGGCTAAAAATAATAATACGAGAATGCAAACATTTTGATTTTGTGTATTGAATGATATGACAGGAGGTTGTGATCTGAAGCGCTCATATTTTACATTATCAAGCGAGAAGGTTTTATCTCCTGGAATGTTCACTTGTATTAGTTTTTATTTGGTTTCTATGGAAGGCAAAGTCAAAATGTATCAAATGTAGGGTGGCCATACAAAATTGTTGCCACAATTGTCATCACTGCCTCATTTCCATGTTCTTTCTTCTTCTGTAGCTAAATGCAATCTAAATGAATAGTGTTGCATTGAAATGTTATTGAAGTGTTTAATACTGCATTATATTGTGTGTTTTTGCAGGTAACCCTCTTTCTCTGCTGCAGCTGAGCCGTATCGCCCTGAGGACGCTGTTGGGCGCCCGAGCTGTGGATGTGGTGGCCAAATTGGATATTCCCAACCGTATTATCAGTTACCTCTTATACCAATGAACTCTTTCTTTAGAAGTTTTTACCTCAGATGCACAAACACTTGAAGCACTGAAATCTCTCCAAAAATAAAT